CCTATGCTTTGCTAAGCTTGTTCTAAGTAGGTGCTTTAGACCACTGAGCCATCTCACCAGCCCCATCCCTTTCATTTTTAGATGATGCGCGCTTCTCTATGGTTAGGATCCTGCATCACCCCAGAGAAAGGAACAGGCATAAGGCCTTTTCATCTCCTTCCTGTGGAGTGGTCAAGACAGAAACTGGAGCATTTCACTTTGGGGGTGGGGCCTCAGATCCCTATTTTTAAAGTGGGGATCTTGGACAGAATCTCACAGCGGGAGTGGCCTCACCAACTCAGATGTCCCTGTCCTCCTCAGACAGCATCTCTCCTTTGATGGGCAGAGCTTGGGCCGGTGCCCACTTCTCTCACAGCACCCCCCTCTGCAGCCTGGGCAGGTTTGGGGCTCCCTCTGGGTTAGGGGCTTCTGCACAGCCTTGGGGACCCTGCAGGCTCCTACCTAGGCCAGGGGTGGGGAGGCAGAAGCAAAAGCAGAGATCTGGTGGCAGTTTTCAGACACAAGCAGCTGAATCTCATATTTACTATGATTATCTTCTGTAAGGTCCTTTCGAACACTGACTTAGCAAATCCAGAGCCACCACTCCCGGGGACACACAGGTGTGCCTAACCTGGTTCTATGCACGCTTCTGCCCTAAAGTTATCCTGTTTCATGTACATCATTATTAACACTGAGATTTATTCTTTCTGTCTCTGTCCCTGTCTCTATCTCTGTCTTCTTTGTTTCTCTGTGTCTCTCTGTCTCTGTGTCTCTGTCTCTGTCACTCACTCTCTTTCCTTCCCTCCTTTTTTTGTCCTGGGATGGAGCCCTGCCCCTGCTCGTGTAGCCAAGTGTTCTCCCCCTGACTGCACCCCAGCCCCACCTCATGGCCAGCAACCAGTCACAGCAGCCAGTGACCTAGGCCTACATAATACGTGTCGCATATGCTTTCTTTCTGGACTGGCACAGCGCAGCCTTCTTGTGCTTGGGGACATGAGATAGCACTTTGACACTCTGCTTGGGGCCATTTGAAATAACACAATCACCAAGAAAAGGCACAAAACTGGAATGCTGGCACTAACCAGACCACAGGAGAGTCGAGCCTGTGAGCTGAAAGGAGAGGGCCACACATCTGGTTGTGTGCTCGGTGACAGCCCAGTGTGTGACTACTTTGCACATTTGTGAATGACCACAAAGGCCCCACTGAGTGTTGATCTTGGGGTCACAAATGCATTTTAGTGGGGAGAACTTACAAACCTGGAACCAGTAAATAACGAGATCTACCCTATCTCCATTTCCCTCTAAGCTCATAACCAGTGTGACAGGCAAAGTGGGCAGTGTTATGGGAACAGCTTCCATGGACCTTGGGGGGGCCTGGTGGGCTTTCTGAGAGTGGCCAGGTAAGCTGAGGCTCAGGGCCACTCCCTTTCCCAGTGGACCTCAGCAGCTTGTGCATGAGGATTCAATATGGACACTACATCTCTTCACCTTGCAGCTGCAAAGACATCGTGTAAAAGCCTAAGCCACATTGAGTCACCCCTCTGTATAGAACCCTGCATGACTCCCATGTCCTGCAGATAAGAGCCACAGCCATGAACAGCCCCTAACTATACTCCACTCTGCAGTTATCTGCTGAGATGCCAGGTCTTTAGAACACCCCCAGTCAGTCTCTTACCCTCTTCTTTGATCCCACACCAAGTTACAACAAATTTTTATCTTTTCGAGACAGGGTCTCACTGTGTAGTTCTGGCTGGTTTTGATCTCATTACATAGTCCACGCTAGCCGAGAACTCACAGTGTTCTCCTGCCTCGGCCTCCTGGGTGATGGGATTATAGGTGTGCACCACCATGTCCGGCAGCACACCAACTTTCTCAATGTTCCTCCACACATGAAGGGAGCCTGCTTTTCTCAGAGTCTTCACCCATGGGTTCCCTAGGCCTAAAATGCTTTTCTCAGCTCACCCTCTGCACTTCTTGGCCGAGAAGTGAACAGTTAAACAACAGGAAGTAACAGGAAGTTCAGATTACTGAAGCAGGCTGTGTCTGGCTCCTGTCTTTCCCTTTCACCCAGGAAAGCTGCCTAGCCTGAGAAAGCACCTTGCCCAAACTGCCTCTCCTTTTCTTTCTCTCTGACACTGATATTCTAAAGAAAAGCTTGTGAGTTCTGGGCCGGGTATGCTACTCCTGGGAGTTTCCCTACACTGGGTGCTCCTGGTGGAGGTAGCCCTCTGGGCTGTCTGTGACTGAACTGTGACGCTCTACTCTACAGGTATCGGCTGAAATGCCAGCTCTTCAGAACACCCCCAGCCAGCACATCTCAGACAGCTACCTCTGTCCCCATCCCCCACACAGAGCTTTATTTCTCGTTGCGCTTGTCACAGCTGACACAGCCCACAGTGCTCATTTATTATTATTATTATTATTATT